GCCTTTCAATTAGCCCCACATGTGATTATCGGCCAGGTTGGCACAATTAACTAACTCAGGGGGTTAGTTTGACCTGGTCTGTTTCTGAAGAGGAGTGGAGTCCTTCGCCGCTAACCAGACAAAAGGTTGGGCTAGAACCCAACAACCACACCCTTGGAGAAAGATGCCGGCTTCTAGGAAGATTTGTAGTCTGGGAAACCCCACAGGGCAGCTCTGCTCTGCTTTACAGGACACTGGATCTGAATGCTCCGTCGCAGTGAGTGTAATCTATCTACCCTGCGCCTCGCCCTTTCTCAGGTGCCTGCGCTCTGAGCTGCGGGTCTTTGAGCTCTCTTCACCGGAAGGTGGTTGAAGGGCAGCTGCTACCAGGTGTGCCCTGTCGTCCAGTCTCCACGCATCCACCCACCGCCCTGTAACTTCCTCTCCTTTCCCTACGTGCACTCCCTCCGCTGTTGCGCCTCCACTGACTGCATCTCCAGCCCCCACTAATTACCCTTCTGGACCCACTTCCCATTTCTTTCCATCAATCCGTTTTAGGCACAGGTCCTGCATGCCTTTTCCAAAGCTTGGCTTTGGTCATTCTCATTCCATTCAAAACCTAAAGTTTAGACCTTCCTCTTGTTGCCCAGGAGGCTCCTTCACAGCAGAACTAGATATAATGGGTCCTGTATTGGTCACTGGGACTTTTCAGTCCGTTCTTGTGGCCACTGTGTGTTTACGGGCCTTCTTCCAGCACTATACGAGACTCTTGTGAACCATAAAGTTTTCATTTCTCCAGGCCTTTCTTCCTAGTCTGTCTTGGTCTGGAAGCTTTGGTGAAACTGGTCCACCACAAGCGTCTCTGATAATATTTGAAATACTGGTGCCATTAGCCACACCACAGTGTAACAGACTGATGGTTGGATGGTGGAAACCTCCTCAGGACCAACCAATTTTATGACTATTGAGAGCTGGTGCCGCCGGGCCAAGCATTGGCCAAATAGTAGCTCTGCTCCGCACATCACTAAAGATATTTTTAACCGTTATTTTACAAAGGGAGAAACTATGACTCAAGATAATACAGTACCTTTCCTGATGCTATAAACCAGTATTTGTGCACCTTGGTCAGGGATTGAATCCTTGTTGGTGGTTTCCACTTTTGTATTGCACCCTAAGTCACCCTGACCATTAAGTTGTCTAGTTATTCAAGAGTATCGTTCGAACATTTCATTGGGATTTGGGTGAAAATCTACAAAGTACACTAGTACCCATGATAGGTAGATGACACAACCTTGCTTGTTCAAAGTGAGGAGGACTTGAAGCACTTGCTGCTGAAGATCAAGCATGGCAGCCTTCAATGTGGATTACAACTCAATGTAAAGGAAAACCCAAATCCTCACGATTGTAACATTGGGATAAATGGAGAAAAGATCGACGTTGTCAAGCATCTTTTCTTGATCGAATCCACAATCAGTACTCATGGAAGCAGCAGTCAAGAGATCAGATGATTTATTTTATTGGATAAATCTGCTGCACAAGTCTTTAAAGTGTGGAAAAACCAGGATATTACTCTGAGGACTAAGGTGTGCCTGACCCAAGCCATGGTATTTTCAGTTGCCTCATACGCATGTGAACATTGGGCATGGAAGAGAGATGCATTTGACTTGTGCTTGTGAAGAATATTGACAGTGCTATGGGGCTGCCAAAAGAAGAAACAAATCTGTCTGGGAAGAAGTACAGTGGGAGTGCTCCTTAGAGGCAAGGATGGAGAGACAGTCTCATGTCCTTTGGACATGTTGCCAGGAGAGACCAATCATGAAGGACATCATGCTTGGTAGAGGGGCTGCGGAAAAGAGAAAGGCCCTTAATGAGATTGATTGACATACTGACTGCAACAATGGGCTCAAACATTATAACAATTGTAAGATGGCACAGGGCCAGGCAAGGTTCCGTTCCATTGTACGTCGGGTCACTGTGTGTCAGAACCAATTTGATGGGACCCAACAACAACAACATTAGTTTTCCTTTCAACAATTGCACCCATTTTGTTTCGTGGTTTTAAATACAATCTTTTCCATGTAACCGCAGTCTTCCCATTTCCTCCCTGGGTTCCCGGTTTTGTTTGTCCTTTCCTGTCAATTCCTGCCTTCTGGACTTGTTTGTCCTTTCCTGTCAATTCCTGCCTTCTGGGCTTGTTTGTCCTTTCCTGTCAATTCCTGCCTTCTTGTAAAGGCTGTCCTTTCAGTATCATGTGGTGGATTGTCCTGAGGAGTTATGGTCCTCGTGGGTATTCTTGTTCACTTTAGTAGGGAAAACAGTCCACATTCCAAGGACCCAGCTGGAGAACACCCTTCGCCACAGGTAGCAAGGGCAGAACACAGCCAAAGGCACTGTGAATGCTTTCCTCCCCCTTATCACAAAGATAACCAACCAATGAGTTGGACATAGTTTCAGTAACCCATCTCATTCAAAGTTGTTTAACCGGTATAAAAAGAGCCCGCCCAATTACCCATGACCTTTACTGTCCAGCGGGCTACTGCCAGAGCAGTACTGATGTCCCAGTCTGTAAGTTCCTCCATGCAAATAAACTAACGTCTCTCCAACTCGCTCAGGTCACTTTTCCAGTCCTTGGCTTCTCTATAGTGGGCGTCTCTCTCTCTTCTGGGCTTAAACCTAAACAATTTTATGGATCTATTGTTTGGTTCCCATTAATAATAGATATTTACTGCTGTTTCTTCTCATTTTGAGTCATATTCCCTCAGTAAACAGATCCCAAAGCTCGACTCCATCCATGTCATCAAGGTTGACTCTGCTTTGAGAAGGCAGCTCATCCTCAGTCAGATTTGAGTGCCTTCCCACCTGTGGAGCTCATCTACCTACACTGTATCTATCTGACAGCACTCGGTTGCTATTTGTGAGGTTTTCAGTATCTGACAATGTTACACTGCTAGTGATAAGCTTTTCAGTGGCTAATTTGTCAGAAGTGGACACCCTGTCTTTACTCTGTAGTCTATTCTTAGTCTTGATTCCTGTTCATTCATCTTGGATGTCCCTACTGGTATTTGAAATACCAACGACACAACTTTCTGCATCACAGTAACCTGCAAGCCACCCCAGTAGGGCAGACTGACTGACAAATGGTGGCTTGCCTTACTGAAGATGATTCTGTAATGATTGCAGCAGCACATGGACAGGGAGCTGCCAGAAATTCAAGCTAGATTTAAAAGAGGACATGGAACAAGGGATATCATTGCTGATGTCAGATAGTTCTTGGCTGGAAGCAGAAAATACCAGAAAAATGTTTACTTGTGCTTTATTGACAACGCCAGGGCATTCGACTGTGTGGATAGTAACAAACTATGGATAACCTTGAGAAGAATGGTAATTCTAGAACACTTAATTGTGCTCAAACTGGTACATGGACCAAGAGGCAGTTATGGGAACAGAACAAGGGAATACTGCATGATTCAAAACCAGCAAGGGTGTGTCAGGCTTGTGTCCTCTTACTATATTTATTTAATCTGTGTGCTGAGCCAAGAACCTGAGAAGCTGGATTATATGAGGAAGAACTTGGCATCTGGATTAGAGAAAGGCTTGTGGGACAACTTTCAATTGCAGATGACACAACTTTGCTTGCTACAAGTGAAAACCGAGGATTGCAGCCTTCAATATGGATGACAGCTCAATGTAAAGAACACCAAAATCTCCACATCTGGGCTGATAGGTAACATCATGATAAACAGAGAACAGATTGAAGTTGTCAAGGATTTCATCTTGCTTGGATCCATAATCAACACTTATGGAAATGTTAGATCTCTCTGGAGCTAGATATATACCTCGGTCCTTGGCTCTGTGTGAGAAAGAATTCATGCCGAAGCCTGGTTTATGATCCAAGTGAGTTTTCTGAGAGTTAGAAGTTTCGGGTTTACATGGCACCCGAGGGGCTCCTCCGAGCGTACAGCTTGTCTGGAAACTGCTCGGCATCACGCAAAAGTGTTTCTCGACTCTGGGCTCCTGCCTTTTCAAGGATTCTATGGGGAGGCGTGGTGGACGACCCCTGAT